TTAACATTTGACTTGTTTACTATCTGGAAATAAAAAGGAAAAAACTAATGATCTAACAAATTGCTCATCGCTCATAAATGTCCACATTGTTGTATGTATGAATGATTATTTTATGAAGTAGGCATCTTCCCCCCCCCCTTTTCCTTTTAAAGGCAATCCAGAAGTGGTGTAAACGTGATGGGTATGATGTTTAAAATTGTCTAGGTAGCCGTGGAGACAAATGGTTTGCCTAATAAAGCTTAATGACTGATTTTTCCCTCCACTAATCAGAGCTAAGAATGTGCTTCATTAAGATAATTAACTGAGTAGTTGCTTAACTGTCAGTCCTAGACACAAATTCCCAGGTTCCTTGCTTTTCTCTAAATAAAAGCCAGAGAAAAAAAAAAGACCCTGGCTCCCTTTAATCATCTTTATTAGTAAGATGATGGGCAAAAGGGTTATTAATTTTTTTAAAGGCAGTTCTCTGCTGGGAGCTGCGACATTTCGGATAGTACGGAACATACTGTTGGTGTGCCAGCAGAAAGAATATTTTAGTTCATATGTTGGTCTGGCAACAGAGAGATAAATTTGAAGCTAGCTTTTTGTTATGAAGAGCTGAGCTGCATCCAGCCAGACATTTAACACAAGTAGGCCATCAGACCTTGGCGCTTCCTCAGTGCTGCCAAAGCTTGAACTATAGAGCAGAGCCAAAGCTCCACTCAGGATGCTCCCTGGATAATTGGTTTAAAATGTATCTGGAAATCTGCATCTTTATGTGATTTGATTATTTGTTCCACTTGTACCTTCTCTCCGCGCCCTCCCAAGCTCAGGGTGGCATAGATACCTGTTCTGACCTTTTAAACCATAGTTCTAGTTACAGGTAGGTAGCCGTGTTGGTCTGCCGTAGTCGAAACGAAAAAAAAAAAAATAAATATCTGAAGAAGTGTGCATGCACACAAAAGCTCATACCAAATACAAACTTAATTGGTCTCTAAGGTGCTTCTGGAAGGAATTTTTAAATTTTGTTTCTTTTAGCCATAGTTAGCCAATATACCTGAAGGAGCGTCTCCACTCCCATCCTGCCCGGACACTGAGGTCCAGTGCCGAGGGCCTTCTGGCGGTTCCCTCGCTGCGAGAAGCCAAGTTACAGGGAACCAGGCAGAGGGCCTTCTCAGTGGTGGCGCCCGCCCTGTGGAACGCCCCCCACCAGATGTCAAAGAGGAAAAACAACTACCAAACTTTTAGAAGACATCTGAAGGCAGCCCTATTTAGGGAAGCTTTTAATGTTTAATAGGTTATTGTATTTTAGTGTTCTATTAGAAGCCACCCAGAGTGGCTGGGGAAACCCAGCCAGAAGGGCGGGGTATAAATAATAAATTATTATTATAATTTGGGGATCATTCTGTTTGCTTGAAAGCTTACGTCCCTTCCGTGGTGTGTTGCGTCTACGTTGCAGCCATGTTTATCACTTGCCAGATTCTTTCCTAACAATGACTTGCCAGTGGGATTATGGAGAACTGAAACCATGATGCGTGACAGAATTTCCATCAATCCCTATTTTCCCCTAGATATTTTAGAGTAATAGTTGGTGTAAGTGAAGGCACCAGGTGAGTCTCCCTGGGGAGAGCATTCCACAAATGGGGAGCCACCCGTTCTAGTGTTGCCACCCTCCATACCTCTAGTGCAGGGGGCAAACAAAGAAGGGCCTCAGGTGATGATGGCAGGTCTGCCCGGGTCCCCATCGTTCTGCCCGGATACTGAGGTCCAGCTCTGAGGGCCTTCTGGTGGTTCCCTCGCTGCAAGAAGCCAAGATACAGGGAACCAGGCAGAGGGCCTTCTCGGTGGTGGCGCCCGCCCTGTGGAACGCCCTCCCACCAGATGTCAAAGAGAAGAACAACTACCAGACTTTTAGAAGACATCTGAAGGCAGCCCTGTTTAGGGAAGCTTTTAATGTTTAATAGACTATTGTATTTTAATATTCTGTTGGAAGCTGCCCAAAGTGGCAATATTATTATTAATATTGGGGGAGGCAGTCCTGGAGGTATTGCGGTTCTGAGCTTCATTAGGCTTCATTAGGTCAAAACGAGCACTTTGAACTGGGGCCGGAAACTAATTGGCAGCCAGTGCAGTCAGGTCAGGGTCAGTGTAATATGCTCAAACTGTCTTGTCCCAGTGAGAAAGTTGGCCGCTGAATTCTGCACCAGCTGAAGTTTCCGAACAATCTTCAGAGGCAGTCCCACGTATAGTAGTTGCATATCACAGCTGAGCAGAACCTCAAGCCCAGCGCTCCAGCTGCCACTCAACACTAATAGTGTAATGAATGTTGCTTTATGATATGGGTATGATTTATTTCCCAAGAAATGAATCTTACACTCAGTGTACAACATGCACCTGTGGCCCAAACATTGTGGGGTTTGATCTGTCCTTTGGCTTGGACTCCCCCTGGTGGAAGAGGGGAATTGTTCTTTCTGATTTCTCCCAAGTACCATTTCATCGCAGTACTGAAAAACGCATTTCTTCCAATTCTTTCGCTGTAATTAGGAGGACAGGTAAGTCACCCGTGAAAATAATTGAGTAAGCTGTTGTCTTTTCGTAAATACTTATCTTTGCAGCTCTATGTCATGAATCATAAACATAGTCCTTACCATCCTAATGTGAGAGTGGGAAACATTTTTCATTATTCACTTTCCCCCTTTCTCTTTCAGAGTTTTCACGTCTTCCACAATGAATCCAGTTTACAGCCCCGTTCAACCTGGGGCTCCTTATGGAAACCCTAAGAACATGGCCTATACAGGTAAGGTTTCTTATATTCCCATGCTCGGAGGCCTAGTTCCCATGCAGGTCATGTGCCTTTTTATGGGATGTAGCATTTCAGATGGAAGGTGGGGCTAATCAAACAATGCTCTTTAATACCCCCACCTCCACTCTCTGCATGTAGAAAGCTAGATCCGGGATGGCAAGTCTTAGCTGGGTTTTAGCCTTGTGAAGTTCTCTCTGTGTGTGTTTTGCTTTGTACATGTTCCTGAGAGCAGCACCTATCGGCAGCTTGAAGTGGTATAGTTCAGATACAGGTTTTGTGTGTACCAGGCAGCTGGTTAATTCAGATAAGTTGAACCCTTCCAAGAAGTGCGTTGCTGTAACCAAGTTTTGTTGTTCTTCTGGGATCTTGTTACCCCTGGAGTTTCCTTCAGCGCACCAGCTTTTGTTTCGATAAGACTTCTCTCCTCAGGCATGTTCTAATGTGATACTTCAATTTGTGCTTAACATTTGGTATGTCTACCCTATGGGATCTCATCACTTATCTTCAGTCTGCACGCCTAAAAAAAGTCAGTGGTTTCTCTCTCTGCTGTTGGCTGCTTTCTTCTGCATAAATAACTCTCTGTAGGTTACAGTGATGAACTTTGCCGTGAATTACCACTGATGTAACCTGTGAATATTGCACAAGAAAACTCATCCATATGTTAGCAATTACATCTGAAAATACAAAATGTAAAAAAACAAAACCCAATGGAGTTATTTAATGCAGGTGGTTTCTTGTTTAGTTGCATGCCCAAGCCTCTCAACATTATTATTATTATTATTATTATTATTATTATTATTATTATTATATTTATATCCCACCCTCCCCAGCTGAAGCTGGGCTCAGAGCAGCTAACAACAGTAAAAATAACACAGTTTACATAAAATCACAATCCTTATTAGGGTTCCTTAGTGAAAAACACAGATAAAATTTCCCTGTAATTATTGGAAGTTGTTTATCTTCAACAGTATTGATGAATCAGCAGCTAGATTTGGAATATATGACTTTTTCTTTTTCTATTACTGTGCCCTGTCAGCAACAATAGACTAAGTAGCAGGGCAACACTAGTCACTCTTGGAAGAAACTGTTTTTCCAAATCCCTTTTGGTTCCAGTTCAGGCCTGGTTGGGGGAGCAAAACTGTCTTGGTTGCTCTGTGGGGTGACGTTTGCTGTGAGAAAGATAAGGGATATGCGACTCTTGATGATTCTGTTAACCAGGGGTCAGCAACCTAAGGCTGATGGGCCACAAGTGGCCACGGGGGTCGTTTAACCGCCCCACGAGCTGCTCCCAAACCATGCTGCTTGCTTGGCAAGTCCCCGCATGCTGCGCTAAACCGGCGCAGCGCGGGGACTCGCCTCTCCGATGCCGGAAATCGCATCTGCAGAGACGCCGGAAATTGCTTACTGCTCAGCCTCTTGGCTGTCATACATCTCCTGTTTTGTAACTTGAATCCATTGCTATCGGTCCTACCCTCCAGAGCAGGAAAAAACAAGCTTGTTCCATCTTCTACGTAGCTTTTATTCTATGGTTTTCTTTTATTATGTTGTTGTTGTTATCTACTTATTATTATCTTCTTATTTAGTGTAAGCCACCCAGAGAACTTGATGTTATGGAATGACATACACATACCATAAATAGGTACGGCGGTACCTTGGTTCCCGAATGGCTGAGTTGTCGAATAAATCGGCTCCTGAACGCCGCAAACCTGGAAGTAAGTGTTCCGGTTTGTGAACGTTTTTCGGAAGCCAAACGTCTGACGTGGCTTCCGATTAGTGCAGGAAGCTCCTGCAGCCAATCAGAAGCCGTGCCTTGGTTTCCGAACGGTTTCAGGAGTTGAACGGACTCCCAGAACAGATTAAGTTTGAGAACCCAAGGTACCACTGTAATCGAAAATGGGGCCAGTATCTATCTGTCCTAGATCTTTTTGTCACTGTTCTGGGATGCTGTTCTGGGATGCACCAGTTGCCACAATATAACAGACTATTGTAAGTCTACAACCACCATGTTGTAGATCTTGAAAGAAGCTGCCACGTGTCCTACAGAGCCTAGTTGTTTTGTTTGGAAGTGTCTTCGTTCCTGCTGCCGCAGCCGGTAGCAAGAGACCGTCTCTGAAAAACCTTCTCAGTAGGAAATTAGGAAGATGGGCATTTTGACCAATGCCAGTTGGCATGCAGGGACCTAAAATATGAGCTGAGCATCTAGTGCATAGAAAGGTGACGGAATGGGGCAGCTTAAGAGGTGCAGATACCTGGGGAGAGAGAGACCTGAGGAGGAATGATCTCATGGCTGGTGATCCATATGAATTGCATAAGAAGCAAACCTGCACAGGATCTGGAAACAGAACGATATATTGGAACAGACAGAGTGTTCCAGCAGAAAATCAGGAAATGGCTATAAGGGAATAAGAGTTCAGGAGAGGCTGAGAATAAGCATTCATGTCATGTCTGAGCTTGGTTCTTTGTGTGTCTTTGTAATATGCATGAAGATAAATGTTGTTTAATAGTGTCAAAATATGTTAACCTCCTAAACGTAGAAGACAAGCTTATGATAATCTAATGTATTCTGTAGGCAGCTGTATGAAAGATATGCATTTAAAACTCATAGGGAAAATAGGAGGTTTTCTCTGTGGCCTTGGCTGCTGAAGGAACAAAGGGCTTTATATGCTAAAATAACAAATAACCCTGTTGCATTTAGACTAACAAAGGTGCCACAAGACACATTTGTAGTTGACAAAGGTAGCACTCAGTCTCCTGGCATTTGCAAATACTTGTTTTCTCTCAATTGATGCAATATACATTTTGTTCAGAGTTTTCCATGAACTATCTTCTTCTGGCTGAAGTTGTATATTGAATAGCCTTTTAAAAATCTCCTTATTTCGATGTGCTTTCTCCTTCAAATTCAGCATTATTATTCGTGCTGAATCTATATTGTGAGATAGCGTGCAGCAAAATGGCTGGAGCGATGCTGAAATGTTGAGTGAGCCTTATGTATTTGAATGGGTGGTTGCCTTCCTTTTGCATGACTGCAGTTTAGCAGAAATGTCAAGCGCCTTGGCTTTATTCTGGCTGCATGTCAGTGACAGGTAACTGCTCTGTCTGTCTTAACATCCGATGAATCAAATGAGCTATATGAATTGATTACACCAGAGTGTTTTATTTGAGCCACCTCGACTTTTGAAAGGGAAGGCTGCAATTTGAGTAGCTTGACCTGCTGAAAACCCAAGTGCTCTTATCTAATTTGAATTGATTTAAAATAGATACCCCCCCAAAAAAGCAGGGATGGAGAAGCTGGTATCCTCTAGATCAGCCATAGGCAAACTCTGGCCCTCCAGATGTTTGGGACTACAATTCCCATCATCCCTAGCTAACAGGACCGGTGGTCAGTTTCACTTTGCAGACAATGTCAGTGTCGTTTGTGCAGGTTCTCTTTGCTATTTGCTTGTGTTCTTTTGGTGATGAGAGAAATTGGGGTTGGCCTAGGGTGCGGTTGCTTGTTGTGATTGGCTGTGGCGACCTTTGTTTTCATGTGTGAGTGGTGTGTGTGTGTTTTTTTGAATCAGGTTTGCCATATTGATTCATATGCTGTAGGTGGATTCTTGTCGTTGTCTTGTTGGGCTGTGTATGTACCCTTGGGGTCTTATGATGCAGTCAAATGTCACAATTATGTACCTTTGGCTAACACTATGGGTTCCTTGCTCAATCTTTCCAAGATTAGGGAATATAAAGGTGGATTAATTTAGAAGCCATAGCAAAATGTTTTTAGGTATGTTAGTATTTGGTTCCATTTTGTATTTCATAGAATCATAGAATCATAGAGAATCATAGAATCCTAGAGTTGGAAGAGACCACAAGGGCCATCAAGTCCAACCCCCTGCCAAGCAGGAAACACCATCAGAGCACTCCTGACATATGGTTGTCAAGCCTCTGCTTAAAGACCTCCAAAGAAGGAGACTCCACCACACTCCTTGGCAGCAAATTCCACTGTCGAACAGCTCTTACTGTCAGGAAGTTCTTCCTAATGTTTAGGTGGAATCTTCTTTCTTGTAGTTTGGATCCATTGCTCTGTGTCTGCTTCTCTGGAGCAGCAGAAAACAACCTTTCTCCCTCCTCTATGTGACATCCTTTTATATATTTGAACATGGCTATCATATCACCCCTCTTTCTATATCCTGCTTCTATTATTATTATTATTATTATTATTATTATTATTATTATTATTATTATGGAGTGAAAAATTCAGTGAAAAATTGGGGGATATGCTTTGATAAAGTATTGTGGGCAGTTACAGAAAATAAAACCTGATGCATGGATGCAAGCAAGCAAGCAAACACACACACACACACACACACACACAAACACACACACACACACACACACACACACACACACACACACACACACAGAGACACACACACACACACACACACACACACACGCTTATGAGAGTTTATGTGAATATGCCATGTTTGCTCATTCAGGTATTTGAAACAAACACCATTTAAAAGTTTAGGTATGTGCAGAGAGCTCTTTGCTTTCTTGCTTGACCCCGATTTGGATGAGCCCAAAGCTCCAGTTTACTGTCTTCTTCTTCCCATTTAGCAAATATTCTGTGGAGTATCAGCCATTCTGTTGCCTAATTCTATTGCCATGGATTTGTGGCAGGCCAAAGGACTAACCTCATCATAATGAACTCAGAGGTGCTCCCCAGGGCATCCCATAATATAATTTAGCTCTTCTAGTAAGAGCCGCAATTTGATCTATTTCTCTTTGCCATTGAGTGGCAATAGTAATTAAATAGTGATGTTTTGAAAAATCAGCAGAGGTAACTTAGCTGGATAAAGCGTTCACCAATAAATGCACTCATAATTTTTTCCCTGTTGATGAAGTGTCTCCTTGATTCAACAGGAAAAGTATATTGACAGGGCTAGAAAAATAATTCTAGTGTCTAGGCAGTGCCAGCATCAATCTTTCATGCGGCCGACTTGCAGAAGCTT